ACTCGTACGTCTGTGACTCAAATAAATGCTGTTGTGCTCCCAACGAAACAAGAACAACCAAAGCACATCTTTGATGAGGTGACAAGAATAATCATAGTGATAATCGCGAATTGCGGGGACTGTGAACCATCTCATGAACTCTGCGTCTGTTTGCGATGTTGACGCACATACCTCTAGTTTGACAGATCACTGCGTGTAGCAGGCATGCACGCCATTTGTAGGGCATGTGCGAATCCTGGTGAAAGCCGTGGTCTGGGTCGGGCTCAACCAGCTTTTCCAACTGGGCAATGGACAGGCGAGACACATCGTGCTCAAGAGTGGTATTTTGATGGCAGCCGTCCCTAAGGACAGGACAGGGCATCTTGGGAGACGGGATGAGAGGGGAATGTCGGTGAGGAGGCAAAATCGCGACAGGCCCACACCCAACGACTCACCTAGCAAAGATCTAGCCCATTGGAGTTTTTGAGCCGAAGTCACATGCACCAAGGGGTGGCCCTGTCGAAGCCGGAAATTCCAGATGAAAGCAGTGACACTGTAGCGACGGGGGCGGCGAGAGTCTGTGCCTGATGGCTGGGACCAGTGGATATGCTGCCAAAGCTGAAGCAGGCCAGCGAGAAATCCACACGAAACCAACGGCAGGATGACGGAATTCTTGAAATACCGGAGGACTTTGAGGAAGCGAGCAGTAGTGAGCAGCAGCCAGGGCAACAAAGAAGCTCGGAAGGGAATGTGAAGGGGATTGTATAAACCCTATCCTGAATCCAGCACCTAGTCACTGGGGAGGTGCTGCCTTCATGGCACGCTGAGCTTTGCGGCCGATGGATGAAGAAGAAGCATGCGTACGCATCACAATGCAGGCACGGCCAAGCCCGAAACAATGAACAGCAATCTTGGTAATCATAAGCCATAACAATTGGGGCCTGTATGCAAGGCAGCTTCAAAAATTACACCATCGGCGGATGGCCTGCGCTGAGTGCACGTAACGCGCTTGCTGGTTGGGCAAGGAGCGGAAGTGTCCGACAAACAGCATGCACAGCCTTGCACTTCACGCTTCCTTCGCAACATGTAAGCCAGAGCAAACGGCTCCTGCAACTACGGTACCTGCGAACCTCTAACTTCCCAGCAATTAGCTCTTTTTGTTCTAGTGTTTCTATCAAAGGGGGTGGGGGCAGAAAAACATGAAGACTACATTAGCTTTCCAACAAGTTTGGAGCCCCAAAGGATTCAAACAAGGTCCATGGCCAATAACAAGGCGGTGACAAAAATAAAGATAGTTGCAATACCAAGACAAAAAGGTCCGCCCGAAAATTTCACAAGTTCAGTTTTTTAGAGATGACATGGTATTTATGGATGCATGCAGGACACACTCAGCACAGCACAGCTGAAGCTTTGGAGCTTGTCGGGATTCAAATTCAGGCAACGAATTCCAATAAGCCTCTAAAGGCTACCCTTACCAGGGCTTCACATTGACAATTATAAAGGGGGTGGCAATAATGAGCCTCCCTGAAGCAGGTCTGATTTTCAATAAAACCACTTTCTGCTGCAAAAAATACTAAGCTTGGAATCTCATTAGAGGCGCTAAGGCCTTGAAGCTGCCAACCTCAACCTTGACTCTGGAAATCCAGGGGTCCGCCGAGCATCGCTCGTTCATGATTGGGCCCCTCCCCCCCCAGTTTCGTAGACCAAAGGCCAAAAGTCTAAAAACAAGATCTGGAGGGCATGCTTTATTCTCAGGTTGACATTAGGTAGGTGAATTATTGCCAAACACTAAACGTACCTATGTCGAAATATTTATAAATATTAGCGGATGGCGGTGAGACTTTTTACTCTCTATAGCTTGGGCTTCTGCTCCCCGAGGCACGTTGGGGTCAGCGACTGCGCCGGGCGTGTGGGCCTGGCCTGCTCCCCAAATGCAATAGATCGAGCTCAGGATCTTGGACTAAGGCTACGGAGAATTGAGTAGAACATCCAATGGACTGGGGAAACCTACCCGAAGATGTGCCTGTGAGAATGGGAACTTCTTGGCATCAGCAGAGAACCATGACTCGAGTTCAGCAGGGCCATGCGTTCCAATGCAAAATGCCAAACAGCTGGCGTCTGAACCGAAGCTAATGCCATGAAGCGGCTTAATCCAGAATTTAACTCCCAACGTCATCGCTCGTATACTCTTGACCAAAGACACCTCTTGTATACTCCATATGCATAGGACAAAAAGAGGATGGCTCCTGCAAAGAGCTTGTGTATTATGTCCCATTGAGAATTGCCTCTGGCAAAGGGCGCCGGTCCAGCTCAGAAAGGACGAGCTCCGGCTCCTTGGCCCCGAATGTGGAAGCTTCTCGAAACAAGGTAGTGTTGGGACCCAAGGGAGAGTCAGCCGAGAACATCCTCTCACATCCTAGCAATGACAATTACAAAAATGGCTTCTGCATTGCCAAGCATCACTGTCACACTCGGCTAGGACGGAATCCTGGTAAGGGCACAGAAGTGATCAAACCATGATGATGTGAATTCATGTCTCCTCTTCCGCTTCATACAAATAAATTGTTGACCTACGCCAGCCAAAGTTAGCCGCCACAGTGGTCAGTCCGTCTTCAGCTTGCGGATCTTCTTGTACCGTTGCATCATGCCTATGCCGGACCGGTGCGATTGCAAAACTTCAGTTCCCAAGGCGTCTGAGCAAGCGTCAGCTTAGCTTGACTTTGCCGATACGTGAGTTGTGCTGATGCTGGTGCTGGTGCTGCAGCTGAATGGCTGCCTAAATCGCCGTCTTGCTGATTTTCTGCTACGGGACAAGCATGCAGAACTTCACTCGATAAGTCCAAAGAGCTGCTGCCATCTGTCAGCTCAATGAAGGTGCTCTTCACCATGACATGGCAGCAGGTTGTTTCTTTTTTTTCCTCCTGCTGGCATGGGGAAGCTGCACCAGCTACAGGATTGCACAGGGCTTTCTCCTCCTCTCCCGGCTCTCCGTCAGCATGTCTCCTCAGGACCACATCGGATCAATGTGCAAGTGTCGGGATCTCAAGGCATCAAAAATTCCGTCTCAATCTGTGTTGCAGCAAATTTAGTTCCAGTTGATGTTTTGGTGAGATTTTGGCGCAATATTTAATCAGATTCGTCAAAACCTCCAAGGCCCTGATCCTGATCATCTCAACCTGGCCTGGGGGAGCTTCCTGGTGTCGTCTCCACATCGCTAACCTCATCAGCAGCCTTCGCCACCTTGGCAAAGAAAAAAGAGAGCGAGAGGGAGAGTGAGAGAGGGGGGAGAGATTCCAATCATGGGCAAGCTGAAGACAAACAAACAAATGTTCAGCTTGAGCCTGTACCCAACAACACCTGTGTCACAAGTTGTGCCGCTCTGCATCCACACACTTTCAATGCCGAGGTAGCTGCATGAGTTCAGTTCCAATAAAGAATGCTAGGCCACTAGGCAAAGCTACTGGCTTTGCCATTTAGGCTTCGGTCTTGCACTGCGTGCTGAGCCTCCCACCGGGGCAGCATCTAGATCAGGGATGAGCGCAGGGGAGGACATGATGACCAAGACACGCTTTGAGCCCAAACGCTCCTGTTGTCTGGGTGCACCGGGAAAAGGTCTTAAGGCACCTGTGTTGCCGGCAAGGAGACTGCCGCCTCTTCATACAGTTTGTTGAGATCACCTTTCTATTTCTCTGGTGTCCGTGCGACACATCGATCGATGTCAGACTCCTTAAGTGCTTTTTGTTGTATTCACTAGAATAGGTCGTGCCAAGCACTTTTTCGCGCAGTAGACTCTTATGAAATGAGCCTCGCGGATTTGCAACAACCGGCACGGCAAAGATCCTCCTTTTGGTGTCATGCGAAGCTGATCATGCAAAGCCCATCGAGCTAATTGTCAGCTTCGCGGCGTCTGTTCTTCACAGCTTCCCGGCCTGTGCCGGTTAAGCATAAGACGTCATCAAGGTACCCCTGTGCGCCCGGAAAAAAGCTACAACTTTTCTGCAACTCTCAGAACGGGCAAAGGGGCACCCTGGCGTGCAAGATATTGCAAGATGATAGCTCAAAGCTGCATCAGCCATTTGCTCCGGAAGGCCTCACAACACTGCGATCAAACCTGTACAGATCAACGCAGACCAATTGGGGCCAAAAATTCGAGAAAACCGTGGGCGAAACGCGGGCGGTTTGTCAAGCCGGCGACGTCCCTACTAATCACTGAAGCGACCTCATGCACTTCAAAAGCCCGGCCAGCCGAAAGGCTTTAGACTTCCACCCCAACAGAAGCAAACACAAGTTTCGCTTGGGTTCGGTTGGGTACTGAAAAGTTCAAAATAATCAATGCCATGCTGCAACAGGGCATGCCCTGTATGGGCAAAAGCAATCATGAGGTGACTCCCCCCAGGCAGTTTTTGGCTCCAAGAATCCAAAGCCAGGCCTCACCCGTATGATCTTACCTCACTTCGCTAAGCTGGGCTTAAAACTGCAAATAGCGCCTTCAAGGCTTGGACTCCATATCGGCCAGTGAGGTATGCTAGTTGCATCTTAATTCGCGACTTTGCACGGCCAGTGCCGATGCTAGGAGGCTTGCGAGAGGAGCAGCTGGCTGATTGATGTCTGCCCTTAGGAACAGAACGCGTGACGTGAACGTGAAGCTGCGTCATGTTACAACCTACGGCTCTCGTCTAACCTTGCTTGCACAGAACGGTTGCAACATGACTGCAGTCCAAGGATCTTTCCAGACTCCATGAGCTTCTGTACTGTACAGAAACGTGGGAAACGTGTCCTCGTGCGGAGAAAAACCAACGCTCAGCTAGGGCGCTGACAGGTGCAGCTTCTGCAGGCAAGCGGCGAAACTAGATTGTGCCGCCCCGCGGCGGCAATGAGTTCGGCGTTACCTCAGAGGTGACCTACGGCAGGCGCCTCCCAGCTTCTCGCATCAGCACTGCAGTGATCTTCGGATGCACTGAAACATCTTGCTCACAACCAGACTGACAGAGCGCTTGCTGTCGTCCAAGGCGCGAAGACGCTCACTGGCTTGGGCGAGGAGGAGGTGGCTTGATCTGTCAGGGGCAGATTTTGGCCGTAAGGACCTTCTGGTGAGCTGCGTTTCGGAGAATCAGATGCTGGCGCTAGCATGTTCTGCTCGTAAGTAAAAGACGAGGACCGTTCAATGCTATCCTCCGGGCCTTGCGAGTTGGGCATGGGAAGGGCTGGCGAACTCCATCAGTGAACACGACCGGCTTGTACTCATCAGGCACACTCCTGGGAAGAATGCGGTGGAAGCACGTGGCTTTTGCAAGATTCTCTCTCTGCAGGCATGTGCAGGCAATCTCTGTGCGCATTGAAGTTAGCTTCGCGTCTTCCACAAGCACTGCACGCTCGTCATTCACGTGTCAGAATTCCGAGCAACAATTGAGAAATAGCTTACACAATCGAACCCATCATTAATGTGGCCCGCTGACTGCTGACGCTGGGCAACCTTTCTAGCTTGCTTCCGGCCTGTGCATCACAGGACTGTTCCGGTACCGCTCCACATGGGCTGCCAGACCCTGATGTGGTCCACTCCAGGTAACGCGGCAAACCTTCAGGGCGAGACGCTCTGTGCTTGAAGTGGCGCGCTGGTTGTCTGCCATTAGTTTGTGTAAGCTTGAATTGAAGCGAGTATGACTTTAGCACAATCCATTGACTACTTTCTGCTGTCGAGCATGCTTCAACTCTACAAACTGGGCAAACAACTCTTATGCGCGTGTGGCTTGCCTTGGCACTTGGAAGCGACCACTTCCTGAATCCATCAAACTCCCCCCAGAAGGCGTTGACAGCTTCCTCAGCAAACGCGGCTGAAGCAACACAGGCTGTCAAAGTCACGCATTACTTCTCAACGTTCTATGTAAAGCCATGGGACGTATGATTTGCCTCCTAGGGTGTAAAGTTAGAATTGTCTTTGCGAAGCTTGCGATGAGGAGCTCTAGCTTAGGGGCGGCCATTGCATCGGAGTTTCTGAAACATTCTCAAACTTTCTGGGTCCAGTTTGGGGGAACAAGGATTATGTTGTGGGACTAATTATATGGGCGCTTTCATGCAACTAATTGCTCAGCGCGACGTCACTCACGAGGTTCACGAATGCATACCCCAGGTTAGCATCGCGCTCGAAATCGTACGGCAAGTACACGAAGTCATACCTGGGCAGCATGTTCTGCATCTTGGCGCTGCTCCAGGCGAAGGCTTTCGTCTTATCAAGCACGGTGGGCATACCCTGCTACTCTGAGACATTGCCTTCATCAAGCCGTTCCACACCGCCTAGCCCTTAGACTTATCTTCGCCCCTGGACCATTGACAGCCCAATGAGGGGCCAAGATGCTCACCCAGGAAGCCATGCGTGTTCAGCAGGTTCAGGAACATCTCCCTGCAAAGAAGGGGACTGCAGCGAAACGAGACATCTTGTTGGCAATCTTACTTTGCGCTTCAGTGCCTAGGCATGCATGCTTAGCCGCTGGCTTAGCCTTGTATAGTTGTTGGGCACGTTGCGCATCATCACAGTGCTGCGATCTGAGGCTTGCTTCTTGCGCACGTCCTGTACATGCTGCTTGACCGAAAATGTGCGCAGAAATTCTGACAACTACCCCTGAGCAATAGTCAGTCCTGCTTCTTATTGCCAGGGCGGACTGGTTGCTGCCTCAGACACTTTGAACACAATCTTGCGGCATGTTTTGTACCTGTGGTCCAAGCGCTGTCGCTGCATCTATAACTAAGGGGTTCAGACCACGGAACATCATCCACTATTCTATCCTAAAACATTTGATGCGACTGGCAGTGACCTTTCAGATTCGAATCCGAGCTTTGCTGGACACAGCTTCTGAGCATCTGACTTTGGCGACTCTGGAGCAGTAGAGACTTCGCTCTCCTTGGAGACAGCTGAATGCCATTTGTTCGTGGGAAGCAATGGCGCATGGGGACCAACCAAGAGTGCATTCTTTGTCAGCTTTGTGCACAGCATGTCTGCTCAATCTGCGTCTACTGCAGGCCATGTTGCCACCTCAATTGTGTCGCTGGCCTAACCATCATTGCAACGGACAAAACCATCCAGGATCAGTGACTGAGAAATGAATCTTGGTGTGCGATTGCAGCATGCACTCTAATTGCAAGGCCTGGAACTTTGGATGTTTCTTCTAGTTGTGGGAGACTTGTTAAGCTGTGCAAGCAATGGCTTCCTGCCTGTGACATCCGCGATGACGGCTGCAAGCTGCGGAGCTCCTCCTGATGGAAAAACTTGTAAGTAAGCTGTGAGAGGGCAAGTGTCAAAACATGGTCCGCATATGCTATCTGACCAGCAAGGTCCATTTCGTGAATAGCGCAGCAAAATCCGCCTAGATCCGGAACTCGGAGACCGGGAGTAATCCACCCCCTTTTGGGGATCTGCGGTGTTTTTTTGAATTCTTTGGCAGGGGTAGGGCAAGACCCTCCTCAACCCCAAACCCAACGCGGGCTGGTGTGAAGCTTCCCCCAATCAAAAACGCAAAGCTGAGATCTGTTTGTTTGTTTCCTCTTCTGCCTTTGTGGGTGGCTTGCCCAAGACACGGGCTGCTGTGAGGCCTGACCATGGGCATGGGGGCCCCCTCCAAAGGAAGGCACCATCCTCGGATTTGTTTGCTTTTTTCTCTATATGAGGAGGCTTGGGCTCTCCTCTACCCTTGCCGAGGCGGTCTCCGTAGCGGTTAAATTTGACTTGCGCACTGGAGCTTGAGCGTCCCCATGAGGGGTGCGCGAATTGCGTGCAAATTGAACTTGACCCTGGCCCCTCTGGGCTCCTAGTTTGCTGCCACATTTCCTGCTATCCGAGTATGTTGTTGGATGGCCAGGTTAATCCAAGTGCATGGCTTCAACTGTGTCAGCTCCTGCTCGTCGCTGAACTTTCCTGGTGTGTATGACTCCTCCACGAGGCCGAAGATGTCTGATTCCTCAAGATGTCAGAAACAACGGGAAAAACTGCTGACTATTTGCCAAGCCTTTAAGCATAAGCGGCTGACTGAAACTTGCACTAGAGCCCGTGCAGGCAGCTTTCTATTCACCACATTAGTTCTCTCAGCATTATCCTGCCCTGCCCCATATTGCAAAAACAGCCGGTCCGACTTGCATCGGCGCAGATCCCGGCAGATCTCGTGAAGACTCTGGCCCTCCTTCACATCCACGAAGGTCGACCGGACCTGAGGTCAGTAGGCTAGCCTGAAACGTTGCATAGCATGGAGGGTACCTCATTGCAAGAATTCCAGCTGAGGGACCACGACGGTGTGCGAATCTGCCAAATGCGCCTGGCGGCTGCTGGTCTGATCAGATTTGACACAACTCAAAACAAGCATGCTGGCAAACAGGTTGACGTACAGCAAGCCACAAGGCGCCTGCATGATTCCTCGCCTCTTCGAAGCAGCCAGGGAGCTCGAGCCAAGTCTGCATTGGATGACCATGATTCTGGGTCCTTTGGTCCTGGCTTGATTGCTTTGACCACCTAATGAATAAACAAGGATCATGACTTGTTTCCACAAGGGCTTCTCTCAAGTTGCGACGCTCCCTGGGAAATCATTTTGCGCAGCCTCATGCTTGGATTACACTGCATGGCATCGATCTTGCTCAGGCCTTCTAAAAGACCACACGATACCACACGCATGCCACTATTCTGGCAGGCGCTGGCTGCGTCCATTCATTGAAATCCAAAGCACACGGCTTGCCTTCATCTACTTTTTCTAGAACACTACCATCAAACCAGAAAAATCTCAGCCGTTGCTCAAAAACAGCCCCAAGAATCAAGAAGCTTGTGCATCTTGATGAATCTTGTGCCCTCTGCCGCACGCAGTTACAGGCCACCCCGGTAAGGTGGCTGACTGCCTTCAGTCCCGCTGGCATCGTGCCAGCGCTGTGCGTTGCTTCGGCTGTGAAGCGGTAACTGGGACGCCACATGGCGAGCCAGGTCCATGGGGCATGCAAAAACAGTAAATGACATGACGAACCCACTTACAGGGTTTCATGCCGGGACTTGTTTGGAGCACAGGCAGAGTCCGGGGAACTTTACAACCAGACATCATGCCCTTACTCCGGCACTAGGCACTCTACCCATTGGAGAGTCATGATTCTGACCGAAACTGGAAACTCCAAGTTTCTTGAAGGCTGTGAGTGTTAGTCTCTAACCTCCACCTGGTCCCTAAGGTCAGATCCCAGCCGTAGCCACTAAAAGCAACAGCACCCTAACCCTGGAGGCCTCGAGTGCAACTCAGCAGCCATTCAAGTACTCAAGCAATGCAACCTTCTAGGCAGCCAGTTTGGAGGGTCCTCAGCGTAAGAATGCTTCCCTCATTTCAGAAAGATGCAAGCACATTCCAATTCTGGCACGCAGCCGTGATCGCGGCGAATAGTCTATTCTTGAAAAACCAAAACCAGCAAGTTGAAATGTTCCATCAATGCAGCCTCGCTTCAAGCATAAATGCATGGGTGCGAACTGGAATTACTGTTTTCCAGCTTTCTTCGGATGCTGAATTCGGATTGTCGGAGCCGGAAACTTCTTGCGGACACCATTGGCGAAAATGATGGGCTTGTAGTCATCAGGAACGCTCCTGGCTGCAACCACACCAGAACTGCAGTCGTTGATGCGGACCCTTTAGCTGCACACATACATGCAAAAAGGAGCAAGACCTCCTTGACATCCAAGTCAGTATTATTACCATAACATTTGTTTCATTCCATGGCCCTAGTCCTATTCAAGTTACTCAAGGCCCTACACTAACTACCACCACTACCACTACCACAATCACTTCCACTGTCACTCTTACTGGTACTAATCCTAGCTAGCACTAAGACGACTACTACTACTGCTCCGCCTGCTGCTGCTGCTGCTGCTGCTGCTGCTGCTGCTGCTGCTGCTATGATGACAATTTTGTGAGTTGCTTGTAATTTGTAGGTGTTGCTACTTGCCCCTGCTAGCAGCCAGCATTGTTGCGAACGTTTGGCTCTAGAAAACCGAGCGTCTTGTGCATCACCGGGCTGTTCTTGTAACGGTCCTTGCTCAGAACATGCGTATGATTGAGCCCTATCTACCCAGCTAACTATGACCGTGACTGCCTCCCTCAGCAATCAACCTTTTACTGCTGGGTACGGGTTTACGGTGACAGGATCGCAAGTCACAGGAGGGATGAGGCAGCAAAAGCTCGTGCGGGAGTTGTTCCCAAAACAAATTCCAGGGGCCTCCTGGATTTTCTGTCCCACGTGATCGACAAGTATTTGGCATAATTCAGCGGGCATGTCACAATGTCTGCCATTTGCGAGCCCGGGGCGGTGGACTCTTATTCTGCGGGTTGCGAGGATAGTGGCTTGAGGCCCTTACAATCTGGCTAACAAAAGGCTCGGCGTAGGTTTGAACGAGCCAATGTGTTTGAAGTTTCAGGGTGGCTTAATCGACGTCTGCAAATGACCCAGAACTAGTCGCAAACTTACAAGGGTAGTTCAAGCCATAGAGAGTGACATTGGACATGAAATGGTCATGACAACAGCAACGGATTGCTTGCAGCCGGGCTTCCACGTGAGCCTTGAATCCCTGCTTCGGGCCGCTCCATGAAACTTCGCACACCTCCAGGGCTAGAGGCAAAGCAGGCGTGCAGCACGTAGACTTAGAGAGCACGTCGTCTCAAAATGGTCTGCTCAACTTATAAGCATGCACGCAGACGAACTTATTGCATGTGCCAGAATGTCTCCTTTGGCGTCGAAGTTACTACCACCAGCGTTTCTACGGCCCACAAGTGAGGCCTGAGTCCTGGGTCACCGCTCATTGAAAATTCCCTCCCGCATCCTCCCACTCCCCAGGGCTACGCTGGCTTAGCGGCTTAGCACTTTTGCGTTTGCCACTTTACCACTGAAGTGTAATGAGAAGTCCCGGCCTTGGAGGATGGGAAGGACCACGTGCTGAAGCCGTCAAAGAGAGCCCAAAATGCCGCGACGGCTTCCTCGCAGCAACGCAAAGAACGGCGAATTACCATGATCATCCATGAACATCTATGAACTACCTCTGTGTGCATCTAACATGCTAAACCCAGTCGTCCTCGTTCACAAGATTGACGAAGGCATAGCCCAAGTTGGCCTTGCGAGCGAAGTCAATCGGGAGGTATAGGAAGTCGTACTTCCCAGCGAAGTCTCGTGAGTCCAACAGGTGGAGCAACATGGACCTGAACAGGACCACGTGAGCTTACTGAGCACTTACTGCATCGTGCCACTGGCCTCGTGTAGTTGTTGGGGAGGTTTCGCATCATCACAGTCGTGCGCGGCCTCCTTTTTATGGCATCCTGGCAGTTTCTGACACAGGTCTGAACCAGTTGCAGTGAGACTTGCAAAGGCAACTTGTTGAAACATTTTGCAACATGTTGCAACGCTTCCGTGCCTGCTTTGGCGAGGCTTGCTCCTGAAGCCGAGTGAGAAGGATTCCCCCATTCATTCCCCTCACTTTTTAGGATGCCTTTTTGAGAACCACGAATGAAGTTGGGAGACGTGGGCATGGGAGGCACATTGCGCACAGTGATTGCAACTTGTGCGCAGGCCTGGGACAACTCCTCCTCGCACTTCTCCTCTGATGTCTCGTTTTCGCTGCTGTCCTGCGCTTGATTTCATTCGGCAGAGTATTGGCTGCTCTGATCAATTCAATTCAACCCGACTGGTCTGGAGACTCCCCGCCGCAATGCTCTCCACACTTGCGTGCTGGACAGAAACTTACTTCGCGGCCTCTGCTCCAGTGGGTGTACCCGGAGTAGTTGTGCCCGTCTGCACACGCTTTGGAAAAACGGGGCGACAACATGCGATAACACAGGTCCCAGACTGTCACACAGAATGCCGCATCTCAGCCACAAAGCCGCTTGAAGTCTTGCAGGTGGCTGAGGGTTGGGCTTCTGAGGCCCCAGAGAGAAAGCAGACCCCTTTCCATATGAGGGTTTCCCGAAAAATGAGGGGTACCTTTTTTGGGGGGTCCTTATAACAAGGATGATAGTATTTGGGGGTCTGTGTTGGGGTACCCTATTTTGGGAAACTACCATATCCCGGTGGCCGCTTCTGCCCGCCTTGGTCCCTGACTCCTGTGAATCGCTGCGCTTGAGGGTGATGCCAGCGAAGGCAGCCTGAAGCCCGGTGTTGCGGGCTGGCAGAGAAACCTGAACCGTGAAAACATTGGAATATCATACAAACCGACAGCAATTTGAATGATCTTGTTACTACTTGATTCAGGCTCCTACGTTGCGTGGGTCGATTTTTGCTTCTGTGGGAGTTTCTCAAAATCAACCCTATAGATTCTTCAGATCTGGCTTGAACACACCCTTTACAACCTCCAGCCTCGTCAAGCTCAGATGAGAAGGTGCCAGGCTCATAGACCTGTGCAGTTTGAATGCACCGCCTGCATGACTGCCCCGCCGTTGTAGGCTTTGCATCATCCTGGAAAAACAAGCTATCCTGTATCGTAACTGAGGAGCTGCTCGACCCAACATGTGGTGAACAGCTGCTTCAAAAATGATTTGCTGAGTAAGGTAAGGGCTTTATGAGATTATTATTGTTTGGCAGCTTGTCATGGAGCCTCGGGACCCTCTGGGTCGTCCAAATTCCCGTCGGTAGACGCCTCCACCAAGTCACACAAGCAGCATTTTCTGATCTCTTGGCAGTACTTATACATGGTCATTTACATCGGAAGGTGTTCCGTTATGCAGGGGATTCTGTTTTGCTGAGAAAGAATCAGCAGTCTGCCCACATGCAAGCAGGCAAGCAGAAGGAGAACCACAAAAACATTGAGATGGTGTGTTGCGCGGCCTGAGTGGAGGTGCTCCTCTGCTACTTATGTCGCACGGTCATGTCATAAGAAAGTTCATTGCTGTTGCTAGACAAAGGAATAAACTGGCTTGGGCGAATATATCATGATCTGCAGACCCTATGCATGATCTGAACCGCGGTGCGACGATAGCCCGGTCTATCGCTCTCTCTCTCACGAGGATCTAGCCGCGTCTAATCCCGAATCACGCCTTGCGGAGCGACCGGAATCCTTGGCACATCTTCACTGGCCTGTTGTTGGATAGGGGCCATACATAGCCGGCAGGGAATTAGATCCCTGGATGCTGCCATGAGTCGCTTCTTCAAGCTCAGGCCATCTCCCATATCCAGAAAGGTGCTTTTCACCTCAGCCGTCACGAAAGCGGTCACAAGCAAACCGCTCTTAGCCTTCGTGCAGGTGAGCTTCGCAAAGCACTTCGCCTTCCTCGCCCTCCTGCTTCGTGGTTTCCAGCTCAAGGTTGACGATCTGGGATTTCCTGATGTCAAACAAAAGTTGAGAGACATACTCTGTACAAGGCCTCAGAACAATTTCCACCATCCAGTGGCAGGGCTCAAGCAGGTTATGGCACTGCGCTACAGTCTTACAACTGTCTTTGCACAAAGGCACACTTCCCTGTCTGTACGCCTCAACCGCCTGCTTGCCCTTTCTCGCCCATTCCCCCGGGCTTGCAGCCGAAGTGACCAACCATCTCCTCCAGTGAAATTTGAAGGGGAGGTGCACGCCATGACCCTCAAACACCTCAGGATTCTCAGGAAGGCATTGACTGACTGACTGTTCATAGGAAGCTGAGGCGATAGTGATTGTTCTGCGGTGATAACACAATCGTGATGGCATTACCATGATTACAGTCGGAAGAATTCAGTGCTGCCTTTAGTGCTTGAACCAAATAAAGTTATACTCTCCTCACAACATAGCATGCCAAAAGGATGATATATTCTTTATATCTGCATATGTATATTCGTGACCATAGCAATCCGCGAAAAACTCTACTCAATTGCAGTTCCGCCATGGTTCTATGATGCTCTGCGGGACAGAGCCAGACCCCCACAAGCTGGTATGCAGGCCAGGGCACAGGCAGCGCTCTCTTTACAAAGCAGCGGTCTCTTTACAACGCTGCGGGACGAACAAGCCTAGTAACTGACCATGAGCCAAGAATGCTCGCGGTGGGGATAGCTGTCCAGACCAGATAACAACCAGTGCCAAATCTGCCTAGCAGCCACTCCATAGAGAACCCCGGAACATGACAGCAAACATGTTCTGGAGGGCAGCTGAGCGCCGCGCGGGCGTGGTCTTCCAGGCCCTGTATCGACTTGTCGCTCTTTCTCTTGCAGCAAAGACAAGAAGCGGCACCATCTTGAGAACTTTGCAGCACTACTGGCCACTACACAAAGAAGGCTTCAATCAGCAAATGGTTTAGTTTAGGCAGCTGCCTGAACATCGTGTGCACCGCTCAGGCTCATACATCTGCGCAGACACCACCATATACCTGGCATTACCTGGCACCATTCCCTGCTGGCCTGAGCCAGCATTTGCTGCCACTGGCGAGCCTTCCACAAGCAGAGCAAGCAGGGCAGCTAATGGCCATAGCCTGAGCCATTCAAGCGACATAGCTCCCTTGATCAACAGCGCTGCACTTGTTTTGCTGGCATTTCAACATTCATGGCTGCATTCTGTGCAGCCGGCACTTCCTGTCATGAGAAGTTATCCAACGCCATGTCAGATTGATGCGGGGTGCGGCAGTTTGGCCTCCGCGCTTGGGAACCCGGTGCTGGTAGTACTGCTGGGTGCGCCCTTCCATCGTACAAAGTGCGCCTCTTCCCAATGGAAACTCGTGGATCTCTTTGTCATCGAAGCAGTCAACCAGTCGCAACTGGAACGGCCTCTCATGCCCCAGCGACAATGAGATGATGCAACAGTCCCCGTGACGGCCGCCAAACAAAGGTTCATCATCTGCGTGCCAGTCCAGGTAGTCTGATCCATCAGTGTACATGTTCACGTTGCAGCTGTTTGGCCAGCTGTCGGATTCCTCCTTCGGAAAACCGCACAAAGGCATGACTACGTCCATCAGCTCGTCCATGAATTTCGGGAAGGGCATGGCGTCAACTACGGCACCCCCGTAGCGATACGGGCAGCTGCAGCCACGGCGGACCAGCCACTTGGTGCCTCTAGAGATGACTCCCATACTGCCCACCGGCCGATCCCAACCACCGGCATCATCAATGCTTTCTTTCACAAGGTTGGCCCAATATTTGGCTGTCTTGTCGTCAATCCCACCTTTCCCTGCGCGGAGGAAACCGCAGAAACACCTTCGCTTGGTGTCCATGACTGCGTAGTTCCATGGAACTTTTGGAGCTCGCCGCCCGATCGTCCAGCTAGGCAAACTCTCTGGCCCGGCCAGAGCTTCTGCTCCTTGAGCTACACTTGCTGCTTGCTTTTCACACTGGGACTTTTGCTTGTTTTGTAATGCAGCCCATTCTTCCTCTGGCGGGGGAGATGGCTTGGTGAGGATAATGCGCGGGAACCAGCCCTCCTTCTGCTGATCATGCGACCAGCCCCAGAGCCATTCAGAATCTTCATAGTCAATGACCAGAGACTCACCCTTCTGGACGCGTAAGTAGCCACCACCTTCTGAGAGGGCACCTCTCTTTGCTACAACTTCCTTTCCACCCTGCGCTTGAAGCCTCAGGCTTTCGATGCAAAGCCATCCCTTGCAAGTCTTGGTTTTGCCATAGACCCAGTCCTTCTCGTCCTGCCTGTCGCCACTTCCAACATACAAGATGCGAACTCGATCTCCAGCTGCAACTGCTAGATATCCAGGCAGAGCATCAGTGACGTCTTCGTGCACGGTCAGAAGGTGACCCCGGTGTAACCCCATTCTACGTCGAAGTTGTTCAAAGGTAATGTGTGCATTACTGCATGACAAGATAAAGCAAACAAAGCAACCCTCATAAGCCATGTCATTGATTTGATTTGATGCGGCACTTTTGGAATGTCCTCGCCCCGGCTTGAGACAAAATGGGCTAAGCACATCACAGCGCGAGTCTGCACAAAGCTCTGTGGGAGGTGCAGGCTGGATGCAGCAACAGTTCTTGCCGGCTTCAACTGCCAATTCGAGAACTCAGAAACCCAAAGCCTTGAGGACCGCCTTCGAACAGCTCCTTTGCGGGCACAAGGACCAGTGCTCTCTGTGATGTTGGTTCGATAGCAGTGATGCTCAAGTCACTTCCTGCTGACAAGGGCAAGCCGCGCACAGCTGCAGCGTCTCCTTGCCAAGATACCAGATGCCCTCCCAAAGGTTGGCTGCCTGGTGTGCAGACAATCTGCTTTGAAGCTTTCTGACTTGCTGGTTTGTCTTCCGTACATGCTCTGGCAGCAAGTATGGGAAATAAAGACACCTGCTACGTCGCAAGCTCCTGCAGCTATTGCGGCCGCCCATGAGATCAGCTTGCAATCGTGACCACCATGGCTATCATTAGTCTATCATTACTACCATGGAGTACATCAGCGGCGATGCAGAAAACATGACTACCAATAGCATGTGCCACTGCATACCGCCAACAGTGCCCCTCAGCATTTTTGTTGGCTATGGAAAGCAAAATGATGATGCAGAGCAGGAACCATCGTGAGCACAGTGGCCCTGAAGAAGCATGCCAGGTCCAGGCGTTGCAGTTCTCTGAGGCTGAGCACGGACGTGGAGATCTGCTGAGCGCCCCGATGGAAGCGGACTGCCTGTGCCTAGGCACCAGCACAGTTCTGTTCTCCATCATGACGCCCTGGCACAAACGCATTGTCAAACAGATTCCAACAGTCCAACAGTTTCTGCGCACCGTCTGAGGACTCAACATTGAAGACTTCAGTGTCTTTGCAGCTCGGGCCTTAGGAGGCTGCCCAGGATGGTAAGGAACATCAAAGTAAACACGAGCCTGCGGACCGGTTTTTTGAACATCCGGATTTAAAATGTCTCAGGATGCCGCCGCAAGCTTCCCATGCTTTTTAGAAAGAACCTTTACACTGCCTCATACTGCCTCACTGCCTCTGTGGCCTCAAGCTGTGGGCCACCTGCTAGTCATTTGAAAAAGAATGTAGCAGGTTTTTCTAAGGTGCCTGCTCCACAACGTCTACAAATAATGGGGCCCAAACATGCACGTGTGCAAGCAATGCCACATGTTGAAGAGTGATGGACGAGGTTACATGCACCCCAGGGGGTTAAGAACATCCCCAGGATTGTGAAAACCATCAAAGGATACGAGTCCTCACAGTGACCCTCCCAACACTATCAAGCGGTTGAGATATCAAGGGCTGGCTGGGTGGGACAGAATTCAGAGAAGCAAAGTTGAAGAAACCAGCAGCATTCATAACCTTAGTGGGCCCTACACCAACCAGCCATACAACTAAGATAAGCCGCGATGTCAGACATAATCCGAGCTCTTGTTTTATTACAGGGTCCACATTTAAAGAACATTTTGGCTAAAATTAGCGTCCAAAGACTAGCTACAATTAGGTGGCTTTTCGTATGAGGATAAGGGGCTACATTTAACGAAACTTTCTGGGGCACCAATCCTGATAACAGAGATATTCAATACATTTCTTTTCATTTTTTAGTTAACAGAGGTCCAGCATTCCTATTGTTTTCAAACTGAGTTCCAGGAGCCCCGCTCATTCTTTTAATCTGGCGCCTTCAATTTCTCATTCTGCGGGGGGGGGGGGGTCACCCCAAAATTAAACAAGTACGTCCAGAACACCTCCGCCTTCAACCATCTTGACGGACAAATCAGGAGTCTACCTGCTGAGGCTTGTGCAGCAGGGTTGCTGGCCCAATCGACCTGGGCTGAGACAGTTTCCAGTCTTCTTGCAGCTGCAGTCAGCAACAACTTACACGACTGTTGTGATTGCTAAGCAAAATTCACAAGGCCTGAGCAGCCGGCCCACACATGCTGAGCAAAGAGCCGCAGAGCATTTCGTGCAGGCCTGGAATGAACGGAGGTACCATTCGGAGTCCATTTGGCACATGCCATCCAAGTCAGCATCAGAAGTCTGCAACTCGTTAAGCCGGGTTCAGACCACTGGGGTCCTCACTAGGTCGAAAGAAGAGCTCGGCGCGCCGCACTGGAAGCAGCAATGCGACAGCTGAAGCTGTGCCTGCCAGGCTCAGCAGCTGAGCCAATCTGCGTGTGAATTCTCGCAAGAGTGACAGAATGTTCTCTACAAGCATTGCGTGAGCTTCACGAAGTTAGTCCTCATGTTGGCCGTGTGCAACAGCCATCTCGCTGAAGATCTGCGCCACTTGCTGTGGCACTACTCACTACACAGTACAGGGCATCAATGACAATATTCCACAGCTGCTGACGATGAACTAACTAAGATGCAACAATTGCAAAACCTTATTGCAGTAATTAACGCGTATTGTCACATACAACAGTTCGTTAAGCCGGCAGGGTGAGCCTTGACAACCGCTTCGCAAAGTACATGTGATCTTCCAGACAATCTTGTGTTTGCAGCAGGCGGCCTGGCTTGTAACTGCACGGCGCAATGCCACCTGTTCATCGCCACGCCTTACTCAATCGCCCAATGAAATGTCCAGCATGGTTACCCGTTGCTCAAATATCCGCCAGATCTTCGAGAGCGTGGCAAGACGAGAGGCGAGTTGTCGCTGGAAAACGCGCCTCGTCACAGCCACGGCTACAGTACTTGCAAAGGCCGCATGAATTTTGTCCAAGCCCCTGACATAATGCGAGTGTGGACAAGACTGCGGACAACAGAGAAGATGCATGCTCAGCATCCCTTCATGCGTGGGCTCCAGGCGTGTAGCGAATGCCTCGACCTCGTTCAGAGCCTGCCAGGAATGCAGCTGTCAAAATCTTAACGTGGCGGTGCGTTGCCAAGCTTGTAAGATGTATCACAGGTCGTATCAACGCATCGGATTCATCTTTCTCGCGCCTCGCCCGCGCGATTTGCAAGACCCATGGCTGCATCCCAGGCCTGATTCAACAGACAAAGGCACGGGGCGTTGAGCAAGCGTAGCGCCTTCCTAAGAAGCAACGTTTATGCTCGACACGACTCGAAGTCTGGTTTGTTAGCTCCGCATTAACCGATGTACAGCCAGCTCAGATTTGGAACCTTCCAATTTCCTGCGCTCTGATGCAATTTGCTTGCTCTTCATTACGTAGGTCTGTGCCTCTGCAGCTGCCAGGTAGTGGCGCAAGGGTTCGGCGTTCTTCTCAACCTTGGCAGATCTGCTCTGGCTGCTTCTCCTGCTCGTCAGGAATGGCCAAGAGTAGATTAACCTGAATATGGAAAGCCTCAAAGCTTTGGATTGCCAGATCGTTGAGGCAATATTTATCCCAGACGACCGAAGCGAAACCTTGACGTATCCTTCTAGCTGGGGACCCAGCATCGCCACAAGCGGGACAGCGCCGCTCTGAAAGCTCCGTGCGAGCGCAGGGATAGCAGATGCTGGCCTTGCTCTGAAGTCTAAAGAATCGCGATGACAACAATAGAAATTCGAGCATACTATTTATCTACTAGTGGTTCAATGAGGCTCGGGTGTCTGATACTTATCTTGCTGGCCTGGATTCTGGCTGACATCTTGGAGTTGCAGAATCTGAGGAGCCAGCGTGGCAAGCTGGGCATACGTGGTTGGTGGCCTGAATGATGGTCCAAGTCCAGCCATGCAGCAACATCGTTTCACAGCTGGTCTCGCCCACGTGCCCAATCCAAGGTGTTCAAACACTACCCGCTACCCAGCTCTGGCTAGCACGGCCGAGTCCCACTTGAGGGACATACAAAGTCGCAGGAAGCAGCTTGGGAGACTACGGATGCTGGCTCTTTGCAAAGACAGCAGACCTCAGAAGCCCCCAGCAGGATACGCATCAGGTCGCCGGTGAGAAGGTGCACTGCCATGACAAGGCAACTCAAACTCAAAATGTTTGTGCTTCCACCCCACTCCGGGACGTCTGGTCTGGGCACACAGACGCCGCTGCGCTTGCGCTCGTCCTCTGTAGCATGCCTGGCGGACAGATCGACGATTTAGCTTTGGCCCTGTATGCCTTGTACTACAGGCCTACAAAACAGTATCAGCACCAACTTTTGCGGCAAGCCGTGATGCCAAGTACATTCGGACATGTTTAGCCAGCCTTGGCAAGCTGAGATCAAGCACCGCGCCAGATCCAACCTGAGGGCAGGACAGTCCTCATGACAAAGAACAATTTGGAGCAGCGAATAACAAGGGCTTTGCATAGGGCATAGGCCCTGCTAATTGCCCGCTGCTTTGAACCGCACGATCTCTAAGCGATGTTGCTTCAGCCTTTGTGTAGGGTGGCTCGGAGCAGACCCTGGATGCAGACATATCCCTGACTTATCAAAGTAGCGCAAACATGAGCGCCTGCGCGACAGTACGCATGCGAGCGCACAACCATGCGTGCGTGAGTGCACGACCATGGTCTACAAGATGTGAGTAAACATGCTGGGAATTTCTTGACATGTTCTTTACCTTCTCACAGGGGGTCACAACAGAGACCGGAGCCTTGTCCAGATTGTCCGCGACTTCTGCGCCAACCTGTGCTAAGACGACATGCAATATTGCATTTGAAATCATTTGACCTGCTTCTTCCCTTGCAAGAAGCCCCGGTACTACTTGGTGGGTCTCCTGACTGAGCATAGTTGCTGTTAGCCTGTTAGCATGTAGACAGCGCACCCTTTTCAGAGCACGGCGCACTTGACTTTTGCTGGCAAGTCAGCTGAAGGGTCTTTCGAACCTCAGCGCTCAGATGCCCGCAGCAGGTCCAATCTCTGGTCTCGAAGAGTTTTGCGGACTTTGGCCACCTGGACCCTTTGAGGGCATGCGTGGAACAGATCAGTTGATCAGTTCGCCTGGAGACCCAACCCTTGGAGAGGGAAGAGGCTCATCGACAGCGAGACAGGAAAACTGATTCTTTAATTAGCTTGAAATTTGTGAGTAGCGCGGTGCTTCTTGTTGTTTCGGAAGCAAACGTCAAATGATACTGTCTCATACGTTATCGTCAGCATAAAGTTAGACTGAGTGTCAAAAGCACCGCGGCTTAAGTGAGGGACTGCGATGAAGGAAAAAGATGATGTCTTTCTTCCTTGAAATGAAGGGTCCGAACTCGCCAAGAGTTGATCGGTCAGGGCCAAGGCTTCTTGCCAACAAGTTGAGTGGAGTGGAACATGTGGAACCATGTGGAACTTGGGACTCTGTAACAGCCTGGCAAGTTCCCAGCAGGTTCTGCCAGGAGGACCCCGGAGAGTCCCAGCTGCTCCCTTCCTTGGGGCAAACACCCGGGAAGGGCCAGTTGGAACCTTTCGGAATCCACAAAGGGTCCCATAGCGTACACGAAAAATCGCTCTGCAGCGACTTTGCTGTTTTGTGCCGTCCGCTGGCCTCAGAAGCAGCATGCTTAGTGTCCGTGAGTTCTTCTCTTCGCTTGCTGGCTCCCAATTGCGAAGCCCTAGCTCTTTATTCCAACCCCGTTCTTACGAAGCAGGCTGACCAAGAATCCAAAAACGTTCTCTGCTACCGGGGAGCATTTAGCAGACTTGTTTGTCTGTCTCCAGCGTGACTGTAGCCCGACCGCCGCACTGTGGCAGCACGTCCTTGACACCCAGCTCTTGGAAGATGGCCTGCCGCCGGCACAGGGCTGAGGCTCGATTTGCAAATGAAACGTGCTAGAAAGAAACTTCCTTCGATCCGTGGGGTTTTCCGGCGGGACTAGACGCAACTGCCTGATTCACTGATTCATTCAAGAACACTTTTGTTACTCTTGCTGGGACAGTCCACCCACCATGCCTCGTATTGCAGTGCCGCATTGCTCCAGGTGAACTCAGCAGCCGCGGCCATTGCGGCCTTCTTCATCTCGACAACCTGATGCGAGTGCGTCTGCCGAAGTTAAAGAAAGGCTGTACTCCATGGCAAAAAGAAGACGCACAATATGAAGCTCTCTTCTTTTCGCATGCATCTTAAACTCCTGCAAAGTGTGTGAAGATGTGTGGAGTGCCCGATGACAAGAGCCACTGGGACCCTCCGATCCCAACCCTCCTCCACAGGGCCTTGCCAGGCTCCGACTGGAAGAGCTGACAGGCTCGGCGGAGAGCCTTTGCCACAGAAGTGACGGACTCCTCCCAGATTTCATCAGTCACAAGGGATGCCAAGCACATGCTTTGGATTCGCAGCGAGCTTGGTGCGAATGGCGCGAGCGGTAGCCTTTTCTCGATTTCAGCTCACAACCCTCAGCTAAATTCTGCGATGCCTTTTGAAACTTTCTAGGCATGAGGTCTTAGACTGATTTTGAAGCTTGCAAGCAAGCTTGAAGCCATCAGGCATGGAATCTGTTGGCCAATTTAGCACTCCTGCTCCACAATCGCCTCAACAGTCATCTCAGCATCCGTCCAAATACCGTTGAGGCCGTCCTCGACACTGCTACCATCATGCCAGGGGAAATCTGGTAGTTTCCCAAAATAGGGGGACCCCAATATAGACCCCAAAATACTATAGTTCTTATTATAGGGACCCCCAAAAAGGTACCCCTAATTTTGGGAAACCCTAATCCCTAGAATCCCCTATAGAAAACCAGTTTCCATTTCATTTTCCATTTTCTTTTCCATTTGATTCTCCATTATAGTAGTTTTCCATTTCCTTTTCCATTATCCCCAATATAACCCCTATTATAAACCCTATAATCCCTATAGTTTTCATTTTCTTTTCCATTATCCCCATAGACCCTATAATCCTTATATAAACCCATTATAGTAGTTTCCATTTTCTTTTCCATTATCCCAGTATTAATATTAACCCCTGTCACACCCTAAAACCCTATAATCCCTATATAAACCCAGTTTGAAGCACTTCTACCGGCCTCGACTGTGTCCTTCAAGCCGCCTGTTGGGGCCACGATTGGCAGCGTGCCCAAGCGCATGGCCTGCATAAGACAGCATCGAAATGGGGGCTGCTGGCCATAAAAAAAAATAAACTTGTACAGAGCGAGCTTTGCGAACTTTGAGCGTCAGCGAGTGTAACAGTGTGCCTAGAAATGTGCAGGCTTCCGGCCTCCATTTGCACAAGTCCACACGGCTCCCACCTGCATCAAGCACAGAGCGGTTTCCCAGCCTCTCGCTCATGCTTAACTTTGCAGTCTTCAAAACCCTGGCAAGTGCGGTGTGTGGCGTGGCCTGGATGGCAGTAGCGTGTAGTCGCATCCAGCAAGAAGGGCGTAGCGCTCAGCTCCCATCCATCCTTATCAGCATCCACGCCACAACATACTCACTCGTTGCGATGCCTGGTTTGTGAGACTGGCACGACAGCCATCTAACCTCAGAAATCCAGACCCTTGCGCCGGCCTGCATAGAAAAGCTTGTTGGGGAACTGCTTCTCGACGGCCTTGGTCCTCAGCCCAAAACCATTAACACTGTGACGCTGGAATTTTGCTTAATTCAGGTCTGGTAACGGTGCGGACCCGGTCACAAACTCATGATATCCCATGATCAAACATGGCTGCCAATTATTCACCGTTTCCCAAGCACCGCGCTGTGCCACAAGATCAGCACGGCCGGCACCAACCACAATCATCTGCAGCTCGGTGTCCTGGTCCACAGTGTGAGGGGGCAGAAATTCAAAGCGCCAAAGTTGATCCACCAAAAGTTGATGAGCGAAAAGCCTTGCCCTGCAAACAATCGACATGCTGCACACCAAGTCGAGACTTACAGATGATTCGACAATTGACGGTGCAACCCACCAGGTAGTCAATTTTGTGGTGACCACCCTCCTTATAATGTGTTTCGAGAAATTCTTCCAACGCAGTGAGGCCCTCCTCCCCAACTCCAGCCCTGCGCCATCCACGCCAGAGTCCGCTTGCTGCTGTATGTTTTCACTACTACGCTCATGCCCTATACTCCGGACATCCAATTTAGCAGCAGGACTGCATGGGTTGCGCGGCATGCCTTTCTGAGCAAGCCGCCCTGGCCAAGGCGTCCCTCTGCGTTTCCTCTCATCATAAGGATCTTGGCATCTGCGGCAAAGCACAGAATGTTTATTGGATTATTTTGCGGCCCCTGTTTTGAGAAACACCCGCTCGCGGCTTGCGATCCTCCCTGCAAGTTACTCGTTCCTTCAGCACCTGTTTTTTTTGAATGCCACGATATGAAGCTCGCTATTGGCGCCCAATCTGTAGCGGAAGGCTGAGGGCCGGAGGCAGGGCTTTACCATCTCTGGCATGGCAAGAAGCGCAGGCGCCCAGCAAAGACTTCAATGGTCAGAGACACTGCTGGAGGCGGTCACAGTCACAGAGGGACACGCCGAAAACAGCTCCCACCGAAAATGCAAGTCTGACTGTCGTGAGACTGCAGAACGCAAAGCTGGATAGGACAAGAGCCGGAGTAAGATTGGAAAAGACAGGAGAATCTCATAAACAAAAGCAATTGGAAGCTCAAAGGCTCCAGTCTCAACTCTCCCTTCTTGCATCGGTCTTAGGTGATAAACCTCTCCATACCGGTCTCACCGTTGGCACAGCGTTTTGTGCAAGCCCTTCACAATGCAAGGGCCAAGATTGATGGCACTGCAGCACCGGCAGGAATGCCTACAGGAAGTCGAGAAGGATGATTCTGATGACAAAACAAAGGACCATCGTAGCGAGATTGATATGAAGTGTGCGCAGGCTCATCCTACTCTGCTGCACACGCACCTCCGACCGTCTCTAAAGACCCATGGTCGGGAGGGATTGAGATGCTGCCCTGGCTGCCCTTAGTCTTCATCGGCCTCCAGCACTTCCATCAAGGCCTCCAAAAGGATGTCATAGCCCTTCTGCGCATCCAACCTAGAGTCAAATCAGTGTGCAGAGAGGATTACATTCAACGTCATGAATCAAAGAGATGTGTTTCGCGCAGACACACGGGACAGCCAATCCAGCCTTCCGATGAAGCACATCAACGGTCCCTTGCACGTCGTCAGATTGTTCTGCTTGCGGTAGATGTTCTGCGACAAGGATACGTTGAGGTGTCATGTGCCCCACAACTAAGCACCACAGCTGCAAGATCGCATCAACATGCTCAAATAGAGCTGAAACCCCGCTGCCGCTGTCAGCTGGCCTTAAGCTCCGTCTTGGCCGCATCGCAGGTAGCTGCCTGGAAGCACAGGAATTGACCGAAATGAGCTAGAGCCGGGCTTCTGAGGTCTGCGCGGTGTACGGCCCACAGCTCATCATGGTCTTGGTGACGAAGTTCATGTCGCTCGGAGAGACGCCCTCCTTGACGCCGTTCAGGATTCCTGCAGCAAGACCCCCGAACTCGGTCAAAGGCTCTCATCAGTCACATGGATATCTCACCGGTCCTGTGCACTTTGCCATCGTGAACAGCTTCTCCAGTTCCACACCCTTCTCAGGATCCATGGTGATCTCTTTCGCATAGCTAGGAGACACCGTGAGGGCCTCAGGCACTTCAGCCATCAGCAGGAGCCCCCCAAAGAGTTCTGTACTTGGGTGCTGGCGCGATCCGCGTAGCGAAGCCCAGCAGCCATGGTGTTGATGCACGAGACCTGCGCTGTGACTGCAA